TGGTTGGGACAGCGGTGCCGGATTACTCGCACAAGCGATGTCTGGGCAAGCAAGATCTGTTTTCTCTTTCTATTCGTGTGAGCGCGAACGGTCGTCAAAAAACATCAGAGCGGTCTGCTCAGGGTTTCGAAGAGAAATAGCGGAGAGAGTTTAATAGTATGTAGTATGGGGCGGTTCTATTCGGAATTTCCTCGGGCCCCCCCCCGCTACTGTGACATCAAGCACGAAGAGTCGTCTCGACATCATCTACTTCTTCGGAAAGCAAAATTGAGCGTGCTGGTTGCGGGTTGCTGGATATCAAGAGTGCACTGAGCGTTCCCGGCAAACCGGCTCCAACACTGTGCTCGAAAGGTCTCTAATAATTTGCCGAAGCGGGACGATTCGGAGAAAAGGCGCGAAGCGAACGGCGAATCGGCGCTGCGCTGTTAGAGGTCAAAATTAAGAAAACCTTTTTTATTATCTAATAAGATACCAGATTCACGTTGAAGTTAAAGTGACAGCGCATCTCGCACAGAAGACTCCGCGCACTTGTCATGAATGAAGATGGCGAGTCAGAGGATTATTCTGTATTAGCGCCAAAAATCATGTTGTATGATAGGCTACACGATTGGGTGCGCGGGCTGTCTCTCAGACGCCCGCGGAAATTTCGAATAGAACGCACAATACTACATACTATTAATACATCATCGCTGTCTCTGAGGATGGCTAGGGGTACTCTCGATTCCTTTTTAGGGGTAGGAAGAGCGGACAATGAAACATAGACGATACGCTTCGTCCTCTAAAACCTCAGCTGAGGTTATTTCATGAGAGTTCATTCTCGAAGTTGCCGTGTCAGATTGAAGGATGGCGCGGAAATGGTTCCAGCTCGTAGGCGAAGATGGGAACGCGGTGACGTCGACTGATGCTGTTGTCGTGGATATCGAAGATGTTGTTGCGTTGCGGGATGCGGTGAAGGAGAAGCTCAGAGACAGCCACCTAGCAGGGATTGCTGCGTCCGATCTCACAGTCTTTGCGAACCGGGCGGAGTACGATGCGAAGCGAAGCGTGCTGCTGCCCCAGTCGGGGTCCCCAGTTACGGCGTATGGGAATAATGAAGATAATGCGCTCATTGTGCAAGTGCCGAAGCGCGCAGAAAGCGATTCACGCTATTTATCCAGCCAAACGCTCAAGAACAAGTCGAAAAGGCAGTATTTGTGATCGTGGAAGAAGACGAAGAACGCAACGGTGTTGGAATGGGTGTGTTTTTCAGCCCGACTCTAGCGGTGACATGCGACCATAACCTAACGGAGCAACACACTGTGGGAAGCATGGTGTCTCTGGCGTTGAAGGAAGGTATTGAAGCTGTTGAAGTTGTTGCTCGCAGCTCTCTGCTGGACTTTGCGATTTTGAAGTCGTCCCAAACCCAGATCATTCTTCATTCCTCCATGGAATGGAAGACCAGATGAACTAAGAGGACGCTTTGATCTTGTGTTGGCATCGTATCGACTCGGTATTGACGAATACCAAGACGTGTTCAAGAATCAACTGGGATTTGCTCCGGTAGCCGGTATCTCCATCAGTGCTCACAGAAGACACATCATGTATTCGTGCCCAACGTACGCTGGAGATTCTGGTGCTGCACTTCTTATCAAGGATGGATTTCTTGTCGGTATCCATCTGGAAACGATCAATGCACTCCGCGAAGAGATGGACCGCAAGAAAACCGTCAAGGATCGCTTGAATGATGTGGAGGAGTCTCTGGACAACATTGCGAGAAGCGGACTAGCGCAAGGCTGCTCAGGTCTTTTGGTTCATGAGTTCAAGGACGTAGTGAGCGAGTAGTGCGAATTGACGAGTTCATAAATTAATGGCACATCGCAGTTATGAAAAAACGGTGTCACAACGAATGTTACATCCTCGGTAGCCAAAATCGGAGGGTGCCGTCGCGATCTCACATTTACCGATATACCATGAATTCATGACCTGATTGGACAAAAACAATCATGAATTCATGAACGAAACCACCCCGTAAACCGGTATTGTACCGACAAAAAAGGCAACCACCTTATCAGAAGCAACACTTCTACACTGAGATATATAGATTGATCTAGAGTTGCTATCGTGGCTTCTAATGAAAAGAAAGATGGACATAATAGCTGGACGCAAGCCGAACACAATGCCTCTCGCAACAATGAGCTCGTCATCTAAGTGTATCGAAACATAGCAATACCCCCCTGTTTCGATAGAGGATACAAGATAATTCACACATGGACACTTCGATAATGTCGATTCCGCTAATGTGTCGTACTCATACAATATTTAGCGATGACACTATAAACTGATGAGCCCGCTAACGTGTCGTCTGCTGATAATTCCTGAGTACGACATCTTAAAAAATGACGAGTCCATCTTAAGCGAAGTCTATTAAGAATAAACAAAACATAATTTTAGTCACACAACTACGAAAATGTGCAGCTTCATTAAAAGCAACGTGGAGCAGTGAAAACTTGCTCGCAACAAAGAATGTTGCAACCACCCGATTATTATTGATCGAGAGGAAATTATTGTCGTAGAGACTTATATAATAGAAGAAATGCCGCCTCAACCGAATACCCCAGCTATTGCTGAGGTTGTTCATACACCAACCCCATCGGTGATCAAGCCCGTCAAGGTCTCGATATCTGTATAAGCAAAGATCCAGAATTGGATGAGTCGATTCTCGCACCGGTGATCGCGTAGCGTGTATATAAAGAGGATCAAAAGTTCGGAATCAGAATTAACCCCTCCGTTACCAGAAAGTCCGAGTTGGAACCGCCTAATATAAATCGTAGCGTACGACTTCGTTTTTACAGTACTAATTGTATGTGCGTGTCTTGTCCACGTCAATATCTCCTCGATTCCCGCTACTAACTCCCAGAGGTTTAAAATCTAAGTCGTAAGCGTTACGACATTGTGAGCAAAATATAATTCGGAAAGCCAAAACTTACGACTTTCAGACTGCAACGCACATTTTTTTGTTAGCAACAGATCCTTCCTGGCCAATCCATAAAAATGTACGAATATCAAGTAAACGCAGTGCTACCTAATCCATTCATACGATTGCTGACTGTAGAACATTGTGGTGTAGTAGAACACACAAATATCGTCAGATGTGGATTCCTCAAGACGTACCCTCACGCTAGCTCTAATTTGCCTAATTGAATACAGTTCAGTTCCTCTTTTACTTCCTAAGAACCATAGCTAAGAGCAATGGGGCAATATGTCCTTGGTTACGTCACGTCGTTCGAGTGGAAAATACTGGAAGCTATCGACTTCCAGGCCAATCAGGAATATACGCGTCCACAAATGGCTTCTTTTAGACCC